AGGGTAAATGTGCGATTACATGATCCCGCATTTAATATGGAAATCAAGTCTAAGCAGGTTTAAATTGTAAATTGAAAGGTGCTCGAATTTCTCTCCATACATGATAACACGAAAACGGGTCTCAAGTTTGTAGTACGAACCGAAATAAACTCTAATAGAAGGTTTGCTCCTTAGTCCATGGCCCCAAGGCATATGATACCAGAACTTGTGTAAGAAAATGACTGTTTTCTGAGTTTTTGCGCCGTGTAGTCTGATAGAAGTATAATGACATTTCGGAGCCGTCTCCATCATCAGGGCGAACCAACGCAGGCATTTTTGAAACGCTGATAAACGTCTACCAGATTACATGGCGCAAGAGTCCCGAAGACAGCCACCTTCATACTCGCCGCCATGAAAACCTCAAAACTCACAGAACGTAAGAGTATTAAAAATGCAGTCGGTCTGAGGAGAAATAACGCGTCCCCTATATTAAAAACGTGGTGTAGCTGATATGTTTTACGTTATGTGTTCCTCAACAACTTACATTTTGCCGCTATGCAATCAGTGTAAGATTTCCTCTTACGACAAGTGGCCCCCTGGCGACCACAGTTTTGGAACTGCTAGTAATCGCCCCACTTATTACGCTATCCATTCTTCGGAGATCTTGCCGTGAAATGGCCACAGACGTCCGTGTTACTGGCAGATTCCTCTCATGCAGGAATAAGCTAACTTCAAAGGAAGTGTTTTGGACGAACAGTCTGTAGACACGGCCATGAAACTGCAGCATCTGAGCTAATGGTTTTTGAACGCAAAAGTCACTGGCTTAAACGATCTCTTTTCCGCTGCGAAGACGATCACCCCACTAACTGGTTATGATATCCCATTCTGATTCGACAGGAGACACGATTACTTAATTAAACTACTTCCATATTACTCTGTAAAGTATCAAATTAAATGCTTAGATGACGTGATAGGAGGATGGCTCTACGCGATAATGTGAGATTTCTATTTCTCGCAGCGGCGAGGATGAAGATGACTGCCCCCATCGCCCAGCAGGGATATCTGAAACGTCGGTAGGCTTCTGACACTACACGGCGTAACATCTCAGAAAAGTCATTTTGAAAGGAAGAAATAAATAAATAAATAAAGAATGAATGAAGGACCACTTAGGTCTTGATGTAATAGTAATAGTAAATCACACACATCTTGTTGCGAACTGGAAGGTTGTTGCGCTGTTACCTGTCTTCGGTTTTCTGAAAAAATGTCAGCTGGAGTCTAACTCTTCAAAAATCGCACAAACAGCTTAAAATAATTGTCACTTACGTCACGAAGGCATAAAATGTATGTCATGAACTGCTTCAGACGCGTACAAGATGAAGATTAGACAACTAGAAACAATATTATCGATCTAAGTCACACACATGTCCAGCACTAACACCTTCTGCTACTGGTAATTATCCGAGCTCAGGATTTATCCGACCGACTATTAGCTTGTCAAGAAGGACTCTGTTCGATGGCATCATGTCTTAAAATTTTGTGTGTATTTTTATCTTCCAGTGCATGCTTCATGTCCAGAGTATGTTACAATTTATGAAGCACGTCATTACACAAAGAAAATCCAGATAAGAAAAGAAGTCTGTCGTACCTTCATGACATAAAGACGAAGTGACTGAGTAAACCGTCTTTGTTTCCAGTGTGCAGAGTTTTATTGTGCTCGAGTCGGAATAATAGGTTTTTTTGGCGTTGAGAATACATTGGACAGAAACCAGTAACTAGCTACCTCAATCGCCCTGATGATGGAGGCAGCAAGGAGCTCTGAAACGTCGGTAAACTTCTACCAGACTACACGGCGCAACAACCCAGAAGACAACCATCTTAGATTTACGATTTGACCACAGGTTCACTATACGACACAAGTTATATGATCGATTTCTGTGCTAATGCCTGTAACAAGGTGCGAAAGAGTTTCTTCACGCAGAGGAGAACCAAATGCTCTGCATTCCGTACAGACGACAGGCGTCGTCGTCGTTTGTTTCCGACAACATTATCTGGAACAGGAGCCTTGCTGGCAAAGCAAGCAACTCAATGCTTGCGTAGTCTAACATTTAATTATCCTAGCAACCGTTGGGACACTACAGTACAATATTAATGAGCCCAAGGCGAATGAAGCAATATGCGACATAAACATTAATAAAAAGCCATAAGTGATAATAAATTAAAATGCGCATAAAATACTTAGAGAGAGGAAGTAGTAGTAAGAAACGGATACAAAGAAGCTTCATCTCTCGCACTCTTCATCACATATTATTAGGGTGACCGAATGAACGGGGATATAATGGACAGGAGACGAAACGTGTATGGGAAAAATGAGAAATTCGAAAACCTGAATAGAAGAATCATTCGATAAACCTAGACGTAGATGGAAACATATATTAAGACCGGTCTTAAAGAAATAGGGTGTGAAAGATGTGGAACAGATAAATGTGTTATGGGATAGGAAATCTTGGAAGGTCCGTGTAAATACGGAAATAAACTTTCAGGTTCCATAAATGGCAAGGAATTTCTTGGGGCAATTGTCAACTTCTTAAGAAACAATCTGCTCCGTGAAATGATTTGAATCAATCATTTAGAGAAAATCATTATATAAAGGACAAAATTTTTGATAAATAAAACTACGACGCTTAAATGGTGATTGTGTGGTAAATACACAGACTGTTTTACCTAATCTCGCTCCAATTCATCATCGACTACGCGGTTCTTTTTTTGTTCGCGATTTTCGACTATAAGAAGCTTTAATAACTTATTCGGAACAGGACTGCATTCCACGGACGAAACTGGCTCAGTCAGTCTGAATATGCTGCAACGATGGCAGCGGACAGGCGTTTATCTTAACCTAACCCAACCCCAGTGTTACTGAAATTCACAGCCCACGCCTCGTGAAGAATCCGGCATAGACGAACCCATACAGAGTGAACACTTGTGGTTACAAGAAAACTATCAAATAGTTTCCTAATATAACAGGGCCGCTTTATCCTAATTTCTGGCTGTAATTATCGACATTTATTTTGTCTGACACAATTAAAGCGTTTGCTAGCGCTCCTACGAACAGATATTAGCTGTAGTCTGCATTGAGGATTTAGGTATTCAGAACACTAGAAAGATAATATAATCACAATTATTAAAATATAATTACGGATTATATAATAATATTTTTTTTTCTTTTATCTTTGAGCAGCCGATATTCGGTCAGGTGTTCAAGGAATTTCTCGTCTTTTAATGATCCCGAAATTCAACTACCGTGTTCAGAAAGGACCGCCACTATCACGAATAGAATCCACAGTTTAAATCTTATTTCTCAGGACGTATGTTAATAAACACTTCCAACGAATACTCGTATACATTTCTCAACTCTTTAATCCGTGCTACATGCCCCACACGTCTTATTCTTCTTAATTGATCAACAGTATCTAGTGAATAGAATAAATTATAATGCTGCTCATTTCACAGTTTTCTCCTGTTACTGCCTACCCTTCAGGTGAAAATATCCTTCTCAGCACCCTGTTCTTAAATACACTTAATCTACTGTATACCATTCTCTTAACGCGAAAGACCCAGAGTTACATGCATACAAAACAACAATATCATTATTTTGAATATTTAAATCTTAAAGCGAATTATTTTTATTTTAAATACTTCATATAATGCCGTTATATTTGTCACAGACCGATGGGGCTCGAACAGACGCACATCAAGACGAGTTTCATGTTGTGTATTTATAAAACTAGAATTCATTAATGTTATTTGAATACACCAGTAGAAGAATGCAAAGAGATTATTAATTAACTGCCTCGGACAATCCGTTGCTAGAAAACCTAATTAGATTTTGGTTGAGAAAGAGCTATATTCATGGCATCTAAGTTATATGGTTACGAGAAATTTGTGTTTCATCAGCCAGCGAAAGTTACTGAAGGATTTGAGACTGAGAAAACAGACCCCTTGAAAGCAGCAGGAAATAATATTAGCAAAAGTAAAAATTTAATGAAATGGAAAGCATTACGAATCATTAATGTTATGACTCTGTTAGAGAGTACATTAAATTTAAAATGTTATGTGTGAG